GGGGGGGGGGGGGGAGGGAGGAGAAAAACAACATAATAAAGGTCCGCCGGGCTCCGTCAATTGTTTGTTCGCGTGCTTCCTGACACTGTTGAAGCAAACTACCCCATGAACCGATGAACCTGCCGAGTGTGCAAGACCCACAGCTCTGTCGCACCTTTGGGCCAGCGCGGCCAGTTCATCGTCCTTGTAGCTCCCAGCAAACCCACCGGTACCGAAGCAGGGAAGAACAGCTGCGGAAAGCGCATCTTCACAGAGATGCTGAGCCCACTGCCAGCGAGCCCAGACCTCGTCGTCGTCCAGGCGGGCCCAGTGCCCAGCTTCGATCTCAGCGTTCGGATTTCATTGGCGTCTTCCCTGTGTGGACGTGTTTTGTGAGCTGCTTAAGCATGCTTCAGGCTGATGTTCGAAATTTGCTCCTGGTCAGTATACCAACAAGCATCTCAACACTCCCTACAGTACAGTTTTCAACGCAACGCTCTCGCCTCAAACATGGAAGCAGTGGATCCGGCACATGTTCTTTGCGCTGCTTTGCTGCATAGCAAAACCATGTTGAAAGTGGCGGCCTCGGCTACACGTACCAGATCCCCAGGGCGGATTGTGTCCAAGACCTGCCGCCGACGCTGAAACGCATTATCGCGTCGGCTGTCTCCTGACTGTGGCAGCTTGTGGATATCAAACCGATGCCGGCTCAAGTCTTGGCCTCAGCGTTGGCCGCCGGTGCAGCACGGATCGCGACCTGAGCTCGCACGAGGAGACGGCCTCGAACACCTTGAGATTTGCAGGCACTGTCATGCCAGTTCTGCTTCGTTCCGTGTTGCGCTGAGACTTCCACGCGAGGGGCATGGATGCACCGGTAGACACCCGGCGAATGCTTGCCGGCAACATTCGCCTCTTCGGGAGGGGCATGAGGCGGCTGGGCAGTTCATGTGATGGGTCAGTATTTGCGCGATGGCGCCTGGGGAACAACTCGATTGTCGTTCTCTTTGGCAGGCACCTTGCCAATGCCGCTGGGAAAAACGGACTTGCACTGCAAGGGCTTTAATTACTTTGTCTCGACTATCGAATTCTGAAGTCGCTTTTTTCCTTTTTTCCTCCATAAGTCGGCGGTGCGATGTCCCGAAGACCTGTCACCAGGCGCCAGTGCGAAGGCCGCAAGGTTCGCGGGGTTTTCCGGAGACATGATCACACAATGTCTGATAGTGGCAACTGTTTGCCAACACAGTCCCATGCACATGATGCTTGCCACAAGAATCGCATCAGACTTATCCATCGCTTCCTCTCACAGGTTCTCTACGCTTCTCTCGCTACCTTGCCTGATGTTCGTTTTTACCGAAACTGTGAACAACGCCTTTGAGTGAATCTCAAGCCGTTAACGGACATCACATTTAAAAACCCCGAGACACGACAGACCCGACAGATGCATGATGCAGGCAACCGGGCCCTCTCCACAGCAGCGCAGAGGCGAGGGTCCAAGTCCACAGGGTGCTGGAGCAGCCGCCTCCCGCAGGAGACCACAACTACACGACCATTGTTGGCCCTTGCATTAGGCCGTGTAAGCAAGTTTCACAGTGTCCTCGTCATCGTTGCTCTCTACAGCTCCACGCCTCCAAATCTCATCTGCGGTCCTCCTGCGATGCTTAGACTTGGCATGGAGCTGGCTAGGGCTCGTGCAAACCCAACCTCTCGGACAGGGCACTTCGACAGGAGCAACAGGATGCTTTTCTCGCCGCTTCATACGGATTTCTTCTTGTGGACATGCCGTACGACAGTTTGAAGGGGCCTCTGCTGACCTTTGGCACCGCTTCCACCTGGCAGTTCTCGAGCTGTGTTCAGAGAACAGTCATGCGATTCGCTGCTGAAGTCGTCCACCAGCACATACGCCATACTCATAGATTTGCAACCACGGTCTTCTTCCACTGTCAGGCAAGGTTTCTGAGATGGCTGTATTGCCTTGCAAAACATGGGTCTACAAAATCACAAACGAGCCAAGCTAGCAATCCCAGCAATTCACACACATACACACACACACACACATCTGTGACTACAAATCAGGTCTAAAGTCGGACCTTGTTGAACTTAAGTTGAGTTCTACACTGTTCTTCGGAACAGGTCCGGGAAATAGCCGTCTACCCAAGAATGAAGCGCAGGCAACGATGCGACAAGCTCAGCTGA